AAAGCAAACTAAAGCATTATGGAAGACTGAGGTTCATTGGTAGATTTTTATTCATTGTGGAATATTTTGGTAGAATAAACATTAGGATAATCCAGCTACTGTATGTGCAAATAAAAGCTTGAGTCCTTGGGTTAAAAACAGACATATTCAGTCAAATTCATTATTTTACACAGACAAACAAAACACACATTTGTCCGATTTGATTAATATGCAAAATGCTTAATTTGACTGTATTAGTATAATTAAGTATATGATAGCTTAGTGTATTATTGTTAAGAACAGTTTTTACAATCTTGATCCAACCAACCCCGATAGCACTCTTTTATTACATTGTCAGCCAGGCTTCAAAATTGATCACAAGCATCTCAGTCATTCTTGAGACGTGGGACAAAACAGGTCCAGCAATGGTAACTGCTATTAGCTTTAAAAAATAAAAATCCCATCTGAAACATGTTCAATATTTCTGATAGCCAATACATAAAGAACATGTGCTTGCCTTAAAACAAATCACTGCCGTAAGCCTCGAATAATGATTTATTTCAGAGCTCTCAGGTTCGCTTTCGCGGTAAATCGCTTCAGGCTTCAGTCATCATCCTCACATTTTACTCTTAAAGGGATAGCTCACAAAAAAATTAAAATTACCCTATGATTTACTCACATTCAAGCTTATATCGAAATCCTCAGACATTTTTCTTTACATAACCTTGTTTTGTACTTCTTATTCGTGACTGGTGTTTTGTTTTGCTCTCTCCTTTGCGCTTCCGTGTTTGTCACTTCTCACTGGAGCTTATGCTATGCCTACATACTACGTCATCCGCTGGACCGCCACTCTTTCGTGAACGCGTATGACCAGCGGAAGCTAGAGATTATGGTTTATAAAGTTCTAAATATGGATATTTTTTTACAGAAATGCATTGCTTTGCTTCAGAAGGCCTCTATTAAGACTCTCGTCAAATCAGATTGTGCACAGAAAACTTTAACCGCCAACTGCTGATAATCATGGCTACTCGAAGCGCATTCGAGTGCGATGAGTGCTGTGAAAAAGTGCATTTGGGACACTCTAAAATGCTTGGAAATGTGGAAAATAAATTGGAGGATCAGATTCAGTATTATTGATGACCCGTGGCGTAATTATTATACTGCATCTCTGTCAGAGCATGATGTAGGCTGATAAAAATGCAGCTCATTAATAAACAACGTTTTTTGTTCGATCCATTTTATAAAATCTGCCTTCATTTAGCAAGTGCACTCACGCAAAAACATTTTTCAAGGTAAACACTTTTTGTTCCATTCAGTTGTAGATGCTGCTGATTCACCCAGACTGCCGCAGCCCCCGCAAAGTTTGTGTGTGTGTTTTCTTTTGAAAAAGTTTCCCTGGAAATACTTCCCCAATTTTTTCCTTACAAATTGTATTATCAGCATAACAATTTGAATAAATGTAGCTGTGTAAAGGGTAGGGGATGATCCCCCCTTCTAGAACAATGTGCATTTATGATTAAATTGTAACATAAATTATCATGTTTATGATTCTCATTTCTTTATCACAAAACGCTAAAACTGGCACCGTTTTGGAGAGAAATTGGTTCTTTTTAATCTCTCTTTTTAACCCATCTCATGGTGTGTGATGATGAACTCTCGTATGAGTTTCTAATGGTTTTGTATTCTTTGCATTGTTCTAAACATTAATATTTTATGTGTAACAATAGCATGATCTGGCTCAGTGACCTTACACCTGATTTTAAATCTAATTTTTCAAACATTATGATTTAAATGGTGTATTGAGAATAACTCTTTCATCTTTTCTTCATGTTAATAGTTTTTCAGTGTTGTTTTGATGTGTTTTAAAGAGTTGACAGTCAAAATTAAACCTGCTGGATGATAGAATGCTCTTCATTCTTTCTGGCAAACAGCAAAAGATAAAATGAATTACAGTATGTACAATACTGTTTTACAATTTTCTACATTTTTAAATTGCAGTGTATAGTTTATTTTAAGGGATAGATTCCACAGCTCAGTACTCATACTCACTACTCATGAGTACTTTTAAATAAGCTACTCTTTTACTCTTACTCAAGTAGCTTTTTTGGACAAGTACTTTTTTCTGAGTATGAGATTTTGACGGTATGATAACCTTAAGCAAAAATATCATGGTATTGTCATTACAGCTCTGAAATGTGTTATTTTTAAATGACTGGGTAAAAAAAAAAAAAAAAAACTTTTTTCCACTGAACACAATATATTTTGTTTTTGAGCAACATAAAGAATATTAGGAACAATATAATTTGTTTATTTTCCTTTGATTTGTTTCCTAAAAAGAAGAAAAATAAAGACTGACATCTTTATTTAAGGTCTGCTATTTAAGATGGATTGGTGATAAGTTAGCTGGTGCTCTTGAAAAATAAAGATGCTAATTCGTTCATGTAACATTAACTGTTTGCCAATATTTTTGTAGATTATTTTAAGTGACCTTTTGTGACCTAATATCCACATCACGTATCGGTACGTTTGAACTAGGGTGTTGCTCATAAAGTATGGATAAGCACGTTTTACACCGATGAATGGCTGAATGGAAGCATATAGGTAGCGAAATTCAATTTAAAATGCTGTTGACATTTTTTCCACCCCTGTTTTACACCACTAAATTAACCTCTGCTCTTTTTTGTTTTATTTTTAGGATGAGCAGTGTTCCGTTTATGACGAGAGGTGGTCATCAGCTGCATTCTAGAATTTCTTGGGGAACATGCAGGAGACCTCATCAAAGAATTGAAAGTATGCAATCTTAATTTCAATACACCAGAAGTGTGAATATATCAAAATTGTTGTTGACTTCCTGAAGAGGCCATAATATTGTTGATTGGACTTTCTGATTAAACAGATAGTTGAGTTTCAGATCTTCTCTGTTGATCAATATTTCATAGGTTTTGAGTGTCACTGCTGTTTAATGTTACAGGACAATGAGAACCAGAAAGGAATTGAACAGCTTGTGATGGCAGTAATTGTGACCAAGAAGGGAACTTCGATTGACAGTCCAAAGGACATTGGAATTATTATCAAGGGGGAGAAAGTTGTTACAAGCCTTGAAGGTGTTCCCAGGGCTTGCTATGTCCTCCTTGGTTTGACGTATGCACTGAATCTCCATTATCCCAGGCATCTAAAGTATACTTTGAGGTATTTCAGAAACTTATATTGGAGCTGGATGTTTCAAAGCTGTCAAACAGAGAATTACCATTATAACTAGCTATCTCACAAATTTGTGCTCACTCAGTGTTTTTTTTAATTTTACAGTGGTAATTTTGTTGCAGTAGCACGAGATAGCTTGATTTCAAACTTTGAATTGAATAAAAAATGA